CCTTCAAAAGATATTACTGACCCAAACACGAATATCATTTAATCTCTCACTTAGTTGTTTATGCACCACAACTGGAAAATGTGGAAGTAGTCATGAGAGGGCAAGAGTGGTTTCCTAGTAATCCTTCCCTTCCCCTCCAGGCCCACTCCACTCAAGGGGAAAACTGCAGAGGCATGGGTTTCACTTCCAATAGGGAAAAATTCCAAAAGCTATAGTTATCACCCCTTTCTCCCTATTAAAGTGAGAGTGACCACTTTATAGACTCCAGAGCTATTTTCATAAACAAAGTTAATGTGGCCAAAATGAGAACTCTAGGCTCTGCCTTTTTTTTTTTTTGAACCTGGACAATTGAGCAATTACACAACTACATTTTTTCCTTTTTTATTTATGAAATGCATCAACCTGTGCTATCTAGCATTTGGTCAAACACATCTCTCTTAAGTAGCAAATGCTGCTGTTTTATCATCACATTTATAATAGGTTCCTGAAACCCCGGGGTAGGAACATCTAATTCCTAAAGGAATGATTAAAAAAAAATATTGAATTTCATTCACTACCATTTTAATGGAATTATTCAGTTGTTCTTTGGTCTTTAAAAGTGGTAAGCCAAGTATGGTATATATTACAATTCTGTTAACCAGAATATCCCAAATGGAGAAGAGAGCTGAGTTTGTGGGAACAAATCATTGTTGTAAGACAATGGAAATTCCTGGCACTCCACCAACTGATAGCAGCTGTGCTGCAAAGCCTTCATGGGACTGAGGTTTGGAAAAATGAGGTACCAGTGAGGTAGGAGAGGGATAAAATGAAAAGAGCCACTTCTATTATAAATTATTATTATAAACCTGAAGCTTAGACTATCATGATGTAGTACTGATTTAAATGTTAGCCTTTCAAGATCTGGATTTATTGTATTAAGTACATTTTTTAATTTACTAGCATATTTCTAGAGCTATAAAACAAAATGCTTTGAATAGGATGAAATTATGATATTCTTGAATCACCTGCTTTTTAAGCTAGTGAAATATTAAGTATCATTACTGACTATCATTTCAAAAGATAAAAACTTTTGAAGTTATTATTACACTGGGTTGGACATGGATGCTGCAAACCTCTTGACTATTTTATTTAATAAAACATCTTGGTAGTAAATGCTTTGCAAGGCCGTTGCTTTTTCATAGCTGGGCTTCCTCTAAGCACAGCCTCCTAACTTAAGAGAATGTCACTTAATATTCAACATTGTGTGCTTTAGGAATAGAAATCTGCATTTTATAAAAGCAGTATAGACTCGAATAAATGGCTTGTACTAAGGAACCAGGCGTGCCTCCTATCTAGATTTCTCATGTGATTCAATCTTAATTTATCTTTAATGAAAGAAGCATTTATCTTGAACAATCCAGAGTATCTATCTGAACTTTCTTTTCCAATTAAAACCTGAAGGACATATAATTTGAAAAATAAAATATCTTTTTTTTTTTGTCTCACTGAGTAAATAAAACAAACTCTATGACTTGGCAAAAACCCCAATTTAAGAATATTAGCCAAAAAAGAATATTATCATTTTGTTCAAAGCTATTTCACATAGTCACAGAAACAAAAGTTTTATCTTGTAACCCATCTCCCCGAATGAGAGAGAGTCTTTCCTATTTGGTACCCTTCATCAGAAGAAAAGTACCACAGAATGGGGAAGACAGAAGACTCACATGGGGAAAGATGTAAGACTTAGAAAAGAGAAATGGGAAGCAGAACTGGACCGTTTCTCTTTCATTTCCTTTACAAACGAAAATTTTGGTTCTAGTCAAAGAAGGGCTGTGAATATAAGTTTAAGATGACTTAACTCTACTTTTCAAATCTCAAATGGGCACTGGTGCTATGTGACCTTAACTAGAGGTTCGGTGTAGAAATCTACTCTGAGAAATCAGTTAAAAGCTGACCTTGACATTGCCCGATGTAAACAGAGATTAAGATTCATTTTGCTAATCTGACTCTAAGAAAAAACAAGTATGATTGCAGAGTTGGTTGGTTCTTTCACATAAAAAAAAATAACTGAACTGTAAAATAAGTACTAAATAATGTGTCATGTATCCATAAAGAAATGACAGAAATTTGGGTAATTCTGAGTTGACTTACTATTTTATACTGATAATATTGTCAATTAAAGAACTCCAAAAAGTTTTGTATGAACTTAAAAAAGAAAATCCTTTGTCAAATATACCTCCAAATTCCAAGATCAGATACTTTGCTCATCAAAAAAATTTTCCAGTTAGGTTAGGGTATAACCCAGGTCTACAAAGCATTCGAGTGTTTAATGATGTGTTTTTTTAAATAATTGATGAAAAATAGTCTTTCCTTAGGTTGACTTTATCTTCTTTCAACAATACATAGAGAAGCAAACTAGAAAACCTTAATCCTAGAAAAACCAGATGCAGATGATGATTTAACCTGTGCATGATTCTCAAAATATGTATTTTAAAAATGCAACTGACAGAGGCTTGAACTCCACCTAAATAGTATCTTACAGGGTCCTTGTGTTCTAATGTCAGTGATGACCTAAACATTCTCTTCTCTAGCAACCTATCTGTAACCCTGAGGAGTTTCTTCCCACCCTGTGGGAACAGGAGTAGGTGAGTTAAGCAAAAACTACAAACAAGAATGACAAATGTTGTGACCTGAAAATCACAAGATAAAGCAGAAGTTATCATCCAACTTACAGCAACTGCTTCCAGATGGAGCCCACTTCAGCACTGACCCAGGCAGCTCATCCAACAGACTAAAACAAACAGAGGAAGACACAGTGAATCTGCGTCCAATTCTGTGTTCACTGTTTTAATTAGAAAACAAAACTGTAATTCTATCTTGGTAGGTCACCAAAATTATGACTTTCATTGGTGTTTTTCACCCACCTGTAATAGATTGGAGGATACATAAAAGTGAGGGAGATCCCTTCACTTTCACTGCCCAATTTTATACAATCACCTAGAAACTAAACTATGTAGAATTATAGTATGAATGATTTAATTAATTAAAGTATATACACACACACATAGGCATACACATATACATGCATACAGATTTACATATATATACCCACACGCATATATAAACATACATATACACACATACATATACATGCATGTACATATACACATACATAGATATACATATACATACATATATAAATTCAGAAGTAGGTGTATCATGATTTTTTTCTTAAAAACAAAGGAAAATCATAAAAATATATCTGAATTTTGAGGACATTTTTTCCTCAGGTATTTACTATTGGAGAGGCATATATTACTTATTCATGTATATTGTTCTCCATTGGGCAGTATTTTATGCTATCCTAAGATTAAACTGGTTAACAAGAAATTCTTGAAAAAACATTATAAGCACTTTCCCATGTTTTTGGCTAAATAAGCACAACTCTCTTAAGTTGTTTTTGGCACAAATATATAAATATTCAACTAAAATTACTGAAAATGAGTGAATAATTCACAAACTCAGGCAAAGGCAGAATAGCAGCAATAAATGCACCATTTTAATTTCATCCTATCTTGGGGGAAACAGAGGGGTTAAGAGAAGTATAATGTTATGGTTGAATATACAATCATGCCCTTATGAAGATACTCCATGCTATCCCTTCTTAATAAGTTTAATAAATAATGACTATGTATTACAAACCATAAGAAGTTTGAAAATGTTTAAAATGTTAAACACTGAAATGTTAGAATTCAGTTTATCTGAGTTATAAACTTCACAATGTAAGTTTACTGGCCTACAGGTTTACATTATCAATCAAACCAAAATGAAGATATATTAACATATAAGAATTCCCCAAAATGTAAATGGAGGTTATGTTTGACTTATTAAAACCTTGAGTTTTATATGAAACCTTAATATTCTGAGTATACATGTGTAGATATATTCATTATGGATCCTACAATGAATGCATCTATATATACATATTGACACAAACTAAAACAAATCATTAGTAAGTCCTCCTGAAAGTAAAACATGCATATACTCATTCAAATTAAAATGCTAGCCTTTGAAATAAAGTACATTATTCAAATTAGCTAAACTGAGTTGAAAAATTGGATATAAAAATGTCCATGCATACCCATTATTGTTTTTTTTTTTTTTTTGTACTAGGGATTGAACCCAGGGACTCTTAACCACTGAGCCACATCCCCAGCTCCTTTATATATTTTATTTTGAAACAGGGTCTCACTAAGTTGTTAGGGCCCCACTGTTGTTGAGGCTGGCTTTGAACTCATGATCCTCCTGCCTCAGCCTCCCCAGCCACTGGGATTATAGGCATGCGCCACCATGCCTGGCTATTATTTTAGTAATAGTAATAATAATAATAACAATAATAATAATAATAATATTGTAATTGTGCTCTGACTTGACACATACATTGGAGACCATCAGTTATATGAGGATTAATACAGACACATCAATTACCACAGTATATAACTGATTAGATGGTTCTAATATTTACTTATATGAATGTGTCAATTTTGGGTAAGGCACTAGGATAATTGAGATTCCAAGTAAAAAATATTTCACAATATGTCAGTATTTATAAATATCATCTGTATTATTGTGAATCTGTAGCATAGTCTTTCTTCCTTCAGAACTAATTCTACTCTGAATTTGAAGATTGATTTCTATGGATAAGCTACCCCTTTTAGTACACTTCTGTTGTGACTTGGCCTATTTAAAACTTAGCTGCCTTTTCCAAATGTGATATTGTATCTACAGATAACTGCAGCATATCTTAGTATATAATGAAAGTCTGGGTACTCTGTGCCACATCCAATTGACTTTCGTGGGCCTGACCAGTAAGAGAATTGTAAAATAGTAAAATAGTTTGACCTAATTCTTTTGCTAACAGAATCAGGTAATAAAAATTGAATGTAGAATATTAAAAATGTTTGTGGCTACAAGATTATCTCATATAAATGGCTCATATAAAATTTTTGTTTCTTCCTTAGGCAACAGAACATCCTCTGGAACAGGAATAAGAGGTCTATTGTTCTCACCTTAAAGATAAAAGCCCAAACGGTCCCATTTCACATTGTTGCTCTGCACAGTTAACATCAATCACACTGAGTTCAGACTACTTTTATACACTTGTATAAAATGCTAATTTGAAAATATTCTTCTTTGAAAACACCACCACCTACAATCTAAGCTCTGGAAAACACCCTGTAAAGGAATGGATATTTCACTTTATATTTTGCATTGCAATTCAAGTACATGTGACTTTATAGGTGTTATCTTAATTCATTTAATGTTTGTTTGTTGTTAAGAGTATTTTTCAATTAAAGAAATGTACTTGGTTGTCACAGTGGATGAATGGCAATCCTGAGATATTAGCTCCCTTTACTGTATCCCTTCAGACCTGTTGTAGTAAAGGATGGAATGCTTAAAAATTTGTACTTTGTTTTAGCAGTCTGGACAGCCACAGGGTCCTTCAGGTTCTGTTCCCAGGGAAGTTTCCCACATGACCACCGCAGCATGCAGTAGCCGAGGATTTCAACGTCACTTCTTCTGGACAGGGCTACAGGAGTAAACATTAAGAGGGGGGATAAGTAAGTCCTTGAGAAAAAGTGAAATCTTTGAGTGAACTACTATTGATGAAATATGGAAAAGCCAAAGAGGCGAAGTGTTTTGTTTGTTCAGCTGGAGCAAAACTTAAAACGCCCAGGCATTTGGCCCCAGTCCACAGACAGGCAGTGACTTGTTGCTGCTGAAAGTCAGGGTCAGTTTCTTCACCTCCTCCAACTTCATCTTTCCTTAGTCTGGCCTGTCACATGAACTTGATCCCCATGGCCTCTGACATGATCCAGACAACCCATAACCCGGCACCAACACTTTCTCAAAGAGCCAAGCAGTAAAACAAAGAAATAAATGTCTGCAGCTAAATTGCTAACATATGTTCCAGGAAGTCCATGGGGTCTGCATTGGTCATGCAGAGACCCTTTGAGTGCAGACTAAACACTGATGGCCTTTCCTGTTTTACCCACACTGGTGGCAGCATTTGAAATTGGAAGAATATGACAAAACTGCCATCTAGTGTGCAGTCTTAAACAGGCTTGTCTGGGGATTTTTCAGTTACATGAAAGTATAATTAAAATAGGTCCACTGCTTTGGATGCACAATTCTACAATGTTACAGATATTATCTTATAATTAAGCATCTCTAAGCTAAAACTCTAACCCCAGATCCTGGAAAGAAATCTAAAGGTGAGACAATGGATGGGACCACGGGAGAGAGGTGGTGGGGAGTGAGTGTGAAGCCAAATAGAGGTTCCCCAAATTTAATACAAGATGGCTTTTCATTTAAAAAAATACATTCAAAGAACATTTTCATGGCCCTGTAAATATCATTTATATCAAATCATTAAATGCTATAAAACTAATGTTATCATGATTTTATATACCTGTGTTAAAGTGCCTCTTATCAAAAGACGGACAATGAAACCTAAGAAAGGTGTCAAACATAATTGATACTTGTTAACAAGTCACTGGAATAATGATTGCAACATCAGCAAATACCCATAAAATAAACTCATTTTTAACAACCATTTCAAACTGTTATAAAAACAATAGACTGGTATTTATATTTCTACCACTACTTGAATGTTCATCTGTGTAAGAATAATATAATCTCCCAAGACCAATATGTGACTGTTAAACCTGCTGTAAACAGAATCCTGTTTTATTTTCTTTCATTAAAAAACTCTGAAAAGTCACTCAGTAAACTTAGTTTTTAATTTAAAAAGTCATCTACTAAGAACAATGATGCCATCAGGTTGCAACTACTTTTGGTTACCTTTTCTAAGTAGTTATAAAAGCAGAAGACAAGATCAGCTCTTACACGTACTCTATCTTAACTGCTATTAGAGTATTGGATTATTAAAGGCCCTTCAATCCAGAAGAATGTTACAGTCCCATGGGTGCCATTTACTTTCTGCACAAGCTTCAACAATGTCCTAATGCAAGACTTGGCTCTTGTATTAAAATAAAAACACAATCTCTACCATGCTGTTCTACAGTGATTTCTTTAGTAATAAATCTCCCATTAATAATGGAATGGTTCCATTTGTACAGATGTGTTCACAAGTCTCTTTTCCATTATGGCAATTCCCGATTACCACCACTTAAAAAATGTTCACATCCTCTAATTTTCAAAAAATGATATTTTGGCACCTGTTTGGATGATACAGACTACAAGAGGCCCTTTGAGGAAAAACAATCAGAATTAAAATGGAATGAACCTTCCCAGCCACTTCCCCCCACCCCCCAACTGAGGGATTAATTGATATGAAGCTGTAAGTAATGACAAGTCATTTAGATTTCTGAAGTCAATCTTTCATAAACTGGTCTTCATTTAAAATAGCCCTTTGAGAGTTAACTTTACTTCACTATTATAGTTTTTGGTCTTACCTAATTAAAATACATTATCACATATTCCATTCTTTCACTTATTTTCTTTCACTGCACATACACATTAATAACAATGGCTTAGCATTCTACCACTGTTTCCACTAAGTTCTATAAAAATACACATATTATTTAAAAGAACATCTAACAGTCACCCTTTTCAATTAGTAAAGATACGAGCATGAAGTGTTTCTGAGTATCTCTCCCTTACATTCCCTTCCAGAAAAACAGACTAAACAACTTGTTTTAGGAAGCTAATGTTTACTTTCCATCTACCATACAGTAATATCTGCTAAGTTAATTTTAAAATTCTAGAAGACAATATTAGAATCTGTGTGTACCACTTACATGCAGAACTAGTCATCACTGAAAAGGACTATTGATATCTAACTATAAAAGGGTTTTGAGCATTGGAAGTACAGCTCAGTGAACTTATATAGAATGCACAAGACCCTGGGTTCAATCCCTAGCACTGGAAAAACTAAAAATCTTCTAACTTGAAAGTTGCTTCTTTTATTACAGAATTTAAAAATGCATTTAAAAACATGCTAAGTGAACAGTAAATGGAAAGAGACTTAGACTAGGAATTCATAGAGAAGAGATCTACCTCCAGCCTCCACCATTATTACTTTTTTAGTACTAAGATTCAATAATGCCAGGTGATACATTTCGTTTAACATCTTTTCATTCACTCAGAAAATATATTATGAATTGTTTTCTGAGTCATATATTTGCATAATTGTAATACATAAAGTTCTTTGACTACATTTGATAATTAGCATAATTATTAATAGTAAGCTTTCATAGATTTCAAAAAAATCAAGAATTTACTATTTTATGTAAATGCAATTTACTTATAGTGAGACTATTATTAATAAAAGATTTTTCCTCCAAACTTTCTCAATTTAGTTTCTAAATGTTATTTGGCATCTGATGTTTACTGAGCTTACTAATATGCAACAAGGTAAATTAGTCTTTTCAGTCTAAGTCTGTGGTGCTCTCAAATGTTCAACATTTCAAAATGATAAAGCATTGCCAAGAGTAATAACCAAAAATTAACAAAGAATAACAACAACAACAACAACAAAAAAAAAAACCCCAACAACAACATAACAAAAACACAGAATACTAGGGGTATAGCTCAGTGGTACAGCACTTGCCTAGCAGGTGCAAGGCCCTGGGTCTGATCTCCAACAATGGAAAAAGAAAAAAAAAAAAAAAAA